GAAACTCTGCAGGCCAGAAGGGAACGGCAGGATATACTTAAAGTGATGAAAAAGAAAAACCTACAACCAAGATTACTCTACCCAGCAAGGATCTCATTCATATTTGACATAAAAGCAAAAGCTTTACAGACAAGCAAAAGCTAAGAGAATTCAGCACCACCAAACCAGCTTTACAACAAATGCTAAAGGAACTTCTCTAAGCGGGAAACACAAGAGAAGGAAAAGACCCACAAAAACAAACCCAAAACAATTGAGAAAATGGTAATAGGAACATATCGATAATCACCTTGAATGTAAATGGATTAAATGCTCCAACAAAAAGACACGGACAGGCTGAATGGATACAAAAACAAGACCCATACATATGCTGTCTACAAGAAACCCACTTCAGACATAGGCACACATAAAGACTTGAAAGTGAGGGGATGGAAAAAGATATTCCATGCAAATGGAAATCAAAAGAAAGCTGGAGTAGCAATACTCGTATCAGATAAAATAGACTTTATTTAAAAGAAAGACTGTTACAAGAGATAAGGAAGGACACTACATAATAATCAGGGATCAATCCAAGAAGAAGATATAACAATTATAAATATTTATGTGCCCAACATAGGAGCAGCTTAATACATAAGGCAAATGCTAACAACCATAAAAGGGGAAATCAACAGTAACACAATAGTAAGGGACTTTAACACCCCAATTACACGAATGGACAGATCATCCAAACAGAAAATAAATAAGCTTTAAACGACACAACAGATCAGATAGATTTAATTGATATTTATAGGACATTCCACCCAAAAGTGGCAGAATACACTTTCTTCTCAAGTGCACACGGAACATTCTCCAGGATAGATCCCATCTTGGGTCACAAATCAAGCCTCAGAAAATTTAAGAAAATTGAAATTGTATCAAGCATCTTTTCTGACCACAACACTGTAAGATTAGAAATCAATTACAGGAAAAAAAAACTGTAAAAAACACAAATACATGGAAGCTAAACAGTGCGCTACTAAATAATCAAGAGATCACTGAAGAAATCAAAGAGGAAATTAAAAAATACATAGAAACAAATGACAGCCCAAAACCTATGGGATGCAACAAAAGCAGTTCTAAGAGGGAATTTTATAGCAATTCAATCTCACCTCAAGAACAAGAAAAATCTCAAATAAACAATCAAATCTTACACCTAAAGCAACTAGAGAAAGAAGAACAAAGAAAACCCAAAGTCAGTAGAAGGAAAGAAATCATAAAGATCAGAGCAGAAATAAATGAAATAGAAAACAAGAAAACAATAGCAAAGATCAACAAAACTAAAAGTTGGTTCCTTGAGAAGATGAACAAAATTGATAAACATTTAGCCAGACTCATCAAGAAAAAAAGGGAGAGGACACAAATCAATAAAATTAGAAAAGAAAAAGGAGAAATCACAACTGACACCGCAGAAATACAAAGGATTATAAATGATTACTACAGACAACAGTATGCCAATAAAATGGACAACCTGGAAGAAATGGACAAATTCTTGAAAAGGTACAATCTCTCAAGACTGAACCAGGAAGAATTAGAAAATATAAACAGACCTATCACAAGTAATGAAATTGAAACTGTAATTAAAAAATCTTCCAACAAACAAAAGTCCAGGACCAGATGGCTTCACAGGTGAATTCTATCCAACATTTAGAGGAGAGCTAACACCTGTCCTTCTCAAACTTCTCCAAAGAATTGCAGAGGGAGGAACGCTCCCAAATTAGTTCTTCAAGGCCACCATCACCCTGATACCAAAACCAGATAATGATATCACAAAAAAAGAATATTCCAGACCAATATCACTGATGAACATAGACACAAAAATCCTCAACAAAATACTAGCAAACAGAATCCAACAACACATTAAAAGGATCATACACCATGATCAAGTGGGATTTATCCCAGGAACGCAAGGATTCTTCCATATATGCAAATCAATCAATGTGACACACCATATAAACAAATTAAGGAATAAAAAACATATGATCATCTCAATAGATGCAGAAAAAGCTTTTGGCAAAATTCAAAACCGATTCATGATAAAAACTCTCCAGAAAATGGGCATAGAGGGAACCTACCTCAACATAATAAAGGTCTTATATGTATGACAAACCCACAGCAAACATCATTCTCAATGTTGAAAAACTGAAAGCATTTCCACTAAGATCAGGAAGAAGACAAGGATGTCCACCCTCACCACTATTATTCAACATAGTTTTGGAAGTTTTAGGCACAGCAATCAGAGAAGAAAAAGAAATAACAGGAATCCAAATTGGAAAAGAAATAGTAAAACTGTCACTGTTTGCAGATGACATGATACTATACATAGAAAATCCTAAGGATGCCACCAGAAAACTACTAGAACTAATCAATGAATTTGGTAAGTTTGCAGGATACAAAATTAATGCACAGAAATCTCTTGCATTCCTATACATTAACAACGAAAAATCAGGAAGAGAAATTAAGGAAATAATCCCATTTACCATCACAACAAAAAGAATAAAATACTTAGGAATAAACCCACCTAAGGAGGCAAAAGATCTGTACTCAGAAAACTATAAAACACTGATGAAAGAAATCAAAGATGACATAAACAGATGGAGAAATATACCATGTTCTTGGATTGAAAATATCAATATTGTGAAAATGAAAATACTACCCAAAGCAATCTACAGATTCAATGCAATCCCTATCAAATTACCGATGGAATTCTTCATAGAATTAGAACAAAAAATTTTACCATTTGTATGGAAATACAAAAGACCCCAAATAGCCAAAGCAATCTTGAGAAAGAAACACAGAGCTGGAGGAGTCATGCTCCCTGACTTCAAACTATACTACAAAGCTACAGTAATCAAGACAGTATGGTACTGGCACAAAAACAGAAATATAGATCAATGGTACAGGACAGAAAGCCCAGAGATAAACCCACGCACATATGGTCATCTAATTTATGACAAAGGAGGCAAGAACATACAATGGAGAAAAGACAGCCTCTTCAATAAGTGGTGCTGGGAAAACTGGACAGCTATATATAAAAGAATAAAATTAGAGCACTACCTAACACTGTACACAAAAATAAACTCAAAATGGATTAAAGACCTAAATGTAAGACTGGACACTATAAAACTCTTAGAGGAAAACATAGGAAAAACACTCTTTGACATAAACCACAGCAAGATCTTTTTGACCCACATCCTAGAGTAATGGAAATAAAGACAAAAATAAACAAATGGGACCTAATTAAACTTAAAAGCTTTTGCACAGCAAAGGAAACCATAAACAAGACAAAAAGACAATCTTTAGAATGGGAGAAAATATTTGCAAATGAAGCAACTGACAAAGGATTAATCTCCAAAATACACAAACAGTTCATGGAGCTCGATATCAAAAAATCAAACAACCCAATTAAAAGATGGGCAGAAGACCTAAATAGACATGTCACCAAACAAGACATACAGATGGCCAAGAGGCACATGAAAAGATGCTCAACATCACTAATTATTAAAGAAATGCAAATCAGAACTACAATATCACCTCACACCAGTCAGAATGGCCATCATCAAGAAATCTACAGGGCTTCCCTGGTGGCGCAGTGGTTGAGAGTCCGCCTGCCGATGCAGGGGACACGGGTTTGTGCGCCGGTCTGGGGAGATCCCACATGCCGCGGAGCAGCTGGGTCCGTGAGCCATGGCCGCTGAGCCTGCGCATCCGGAGCCTGTGCTCCACAACGGGAGAGGCCACAACAGTGAGAGGCCTGCGTACCGCAAAAAAAAAAAAAAAAACTACAAACAGTAAATGCTAGAGAGGGTGTGGAGAAAAGGGAACCCTCTTGCATTGTTGGTGGGAATGTAAATTGATACAGCCACTATGGAGAACAGTATGGAGGTTCCTTAAAAAACTACAAATAGAACTACCATACAACCCAGCAATCCCACTACTGGGCATATGCCCTGAGAAAACCATAATTCAAACTTCAAAAGGACATATGTACCCCAATGTTCATTGTAGCACTATTTACAATAGTCAGGACATGGAAACAACCTAAGTGTCCATCAACATATGAATGGATAAAGAAGATGTGGTACATATATACAATGGAATATTACTTAGCCATAAAAAGGAACGAAAGTGGGTCATTTGTAGAGATGTGATGGACCTAGAGTCTGTCATACAGAGCAAAGTAAGCCAGAAACAGAAAAACAAATATTGTATATTAACGCATATATGTGGAATCTAGAAAAACAGTACAGATGAACCTATTTGCAGGGTAGAAATGAGACACAGACATAGAGAATGGACGTGTGGACACAGGGTGGGAAGGGGAGGGTGGGACAAATTAAATTGGGAGATTAGGATTGACATATATACACTACCATGTGTAAAACTGATAGCTAGCGAGAACATGCTCTAAAGCACAGGAAGCTCAGCTTGGTGCTCTGTGACAACCTAGATGGGTGGGATGGGGGAGGGAGGGGAGATCCAAGGTCCAAGAAGGAGAGGATATAGGTATACATATAGCTGATTCACTTCATTGTATAGCAGAAACTAAAACAACATTGTAAAGCAATTATACTCCAATAAAAAAATTTTAAAAAAATAAAAATAAAACACACCACGCACACTGCCTCTCTGACAGTCCTCATGCACCCCTGCCACCTGGAAGGAACCCTGCACAGAGCCCCACACCGACAGGGCTGTGTGCTGCTAGGAAGCGGCTGCTCTGAGCTCCACATTTCTCTCTAAGGCCACGTGGTTTGTTCGTACATCTTTTTTTTTTTTTTTTTTTTTTTTTTTTTTTCGCGGGCCTCTCACTGTTGTGGCCTCTCCCGTTGTGGAGCACAGGCTCCGGACGCGCAGGCTCAGCGCCCATGGCTCACGGACCCAGCTGCTCCGCGGCGTGTGGGATCTTCCCAAACTGGGGCACGAACCCGTGTCCCCTGCATCGGCAGGCGGACTCTCAACCACTGCGCCACCAGGAAAGCCCTGTTCGTACATCTTTAAATGAATTACATCAACACATCAGTCTTTCTTCCTTGAGAGGATTCTCTTATTGATAGTAACTTCATCAAACCCCTGAGCCACTTTGATCAGTTCATTTCCTCATAAACAGAAAGTACCAGTGATTTGTCTCAAACAGTGAAATGTTCACAGCTCAATCTACACCACGTGTGAAAGGTTACGTCTGACGTCACACACAGCAGCCCCTCCACTACAGACTTGAGACCACTGTGCCTCCTTCCCAGAGAGCCTACATGCACTGGGGGACTTTACATCTCCGTACGGAGCTCTAAACTTTCTATTCAGTTGGACTCACCCCTCTTTCTAACGAATGTAAGAGAGACAAGCGTATTGGAAGATTCCAGGAGGGACCCTTCCAGAAAACAGTTTCCTTGAGTCCAGGGACCATGCTTCACTTATCTGTATGTCCCCTGTGCCCAGCACAGGGCTTGGCCCTGAGCAAGCACACTGAATGTCTGTTGTACAGCAGGATGGATAGATGGATGGATGGATGGATGGATGGATGGATAGATGGATGGATGGATGGATGTGAACAAATGGGTAAATGCGTGGGTGGGAAGATGAGCGGAGAGATGGAGGGAGAGAGCAAGAGAGGGACAGGGAAATGGATGGGTGGGAGGATGGATGGATGGATGGACACATGGGTGAGTAAATAAGTAACAGAGGTCCCACCCCATGTACCCTTTAGCCACTCAGGGAAGCAGCAAGTAAGTATCTTGCCAGCGCTCGGCACTGGTCGTCTTCTTCCCACCCCCAGCCTCCAGGATGGACTTCACTAAATCCCTAAAAGGTTCAAACTGTCCTTCCACCAACCTCTCCAGGGTCTAGCAGCAGAGGAACAGTAGAAGGAAGGTGTCACCCCTCACTCCTGAGGTGACATGTTACCATCCACCCCCCACCAGTTACCAAGGGCCAGGTCAGAGCTGACACTCAGCCACCCCAGGCTGACCCTGGTGGAGGCTCAGGGAGGCCCAGCGAGTGACCAGTGCTTAGAGGCCATGTGGGAAAGAGGGGACACCTGAGCTGAAACCAGATGTGTAAGCAGGAATGAGCCTGACTAACATGTGTATGTGTGCGTGTGCGTGTGTGTGTGTGTGTGTGCGCGCGCGCACGCGTGCAGGAGGGAGTGGTGAGGGAGGGGAAGGCAAAGACCCCCAGCGGACCCTAAGTGAGACCCTGGTGTGTCTGAGGATGGAGAGGCCCAGGCAGCCAGGCAACAGAAGATGGGGCGGGCGAGCCCAGAGGCAGGTGCAGCGTCAGCGGCGCCCTCTGTGACAGGCCCTGGGTGCTGCAAAGACAGTGTCGAGCCACAGAGGGGGTGGAGTGTCCTTGGTGATACAATCAGGTTTGCATTCCCCAGAAGTTAAGGCGGCACTTGGCTTGCCCGCCCCAAGAAGACCTGACCAGCCTTCCTTGGAAAGAATCCTACTGACCCTGGGAGAGCCCATGCTGACTGCAGAGAAAGCCCATCCCGATCTCAGGAGACAGGCTCTGAGACCTCGTGAAGCTGCCTGGACTGTGCCTTGCCCTGTGAACAGGCATCAGCACTGGCCACGGCCAGCCTCGCCTGTCCTCACTGAGGTCTGGGGGGGCAGGAACCCTGACAGCGGCTGGGCACATGCCGGAGCAGGGCTGTGTAGGTATGTAGAAAGGGGGGCTGCTGTCACATGCAGGCCAGGATGTCACCTTTACAGTCACCTTTATTAGCACAAGCCTGTCCACTGAAGGCACCAATACTATAGAAGGGCCATCAGCCCGAAGTCCCCTCCGGCAGTTCCCTTGGGAAGTAGGTGCTGCTATGATCCTGGTGCCCGCCTGGGGCCCACTCTGAGTGCCTCCTGCACCAGCCAGACGTGAGCCAGAGGCCTGGGTGTGCACCAGGCAGCCTGGCCCTGACCTCAGGGAGCTTCCGACGTGGCTGAAACTTCTCCAGAAAGAAACGTGTCTCCTTGGAAACCCCTCTGGTGTCTGGGGTCTCGCAGTTACAGCAGAGCTGTCGTGGGCAAACCCCAGAGGGATTTCTGCAGTGTGGACGGGGCAGCCCTGGGCTTCCTTGTGCTGAAGAAAGAGGCGTAGTCATGTGGTTCCAGTGCAGTCTTTACAAATTCATCCTGAGCAAGAGAAACCATGTTAGGTTTAACGAATGGGCTTCTGAAATCTGAGTGTGGGAAAATTATTACTTGCCCCTGTACAGCACCTTCGGATTAAATGAGGGGCTTCTCAGGCTTCCCATCACCTGAGCCCACACATCAAGCCTAGGTAGGAAGGTCTGTGTGGTCATTTGCTCCTCAAATGACAGCACAGCAAGGACAGAGGCCAGCTCCCAGCGACAGGAGCATGGAGTGGCAGGTAGCTCTCAAACCCACGTCCCCTGGAGCCTAGGCAAGCCTCTCAGTGGACTCAGCTCAGCCTCTGCGAGTTAGGGGTTAGGAGCTGGGACGCATGTGCTTCCGCCACGACCCTGGGGGCAGCCCAGCATCCACCGCCGTCCTCTTGGCTTCCTTCCCCTCCTGCTCAGGCCAGCATGCTCTCGCAAGCCACCCAGCTGCTTCTGTCACTGCGCAATCTCGATCATTCTTCTCCAGTTCTTCTCCACTGATCCTCTCCTGAAACCAGAAAAGAATCAACAGAGCATCCCAATTAACACTGGCCTGGCTGCGCCCTGCACCGCGAGCTCAGAGTCAGAGCAGGCGAGCCAGGTTCACACACCAGGCCGGCCGCGGGGACACCGTGTTCTGTACATAAGATGCTCTGAGCACAGATTTACTGATGGGAACATATATTTAGTGGTGGGACATGAAGTCCTGGCCCGGGGACATCCAAGAGAGAACAAGGCAAGGAGGCACTACTATAAAAGTGGGGAAGCGCAGACTTCCCCAGACACATGCCCGCAGGCGTCAGGTCACACTGGACACCTCCTGCTTCCTCTAACGGCCTTTAACATTTAAAAGGAGAGTCAGAGATTAGCACAGAGGCAAAGCACACACTCAGTTCAGTAGCCTGACAGCCCATCTTTCCACTGTGACCCAAGGAACAGGAAGGCCCTCCTCTGCCAGATGGCTAGAACTGATGTCAGACACTAGTCAGCTTTTCTAAGATAATCCAGCACTTTCTGAGATGTTTTATGCCTTTGATGTTGAGTCTTCTGTCCCAGAACCATCTGTTTTCCAATATGAGCAGCATTCCCCACAAAATGCATTCATAAGTTTTGGAGTTTAATGTCATTATCGTTTCTTTAGGGATTCCAGAGCAAAGGCCCTTCCGTGCCAGCAAATGGATGTCAGCACAATCACCTTGTGTGGACAAGTGTCTGGCTTGGCCTCAGGAAAATACTCATGGAATCGTATCACTCCAAAATCTTATAAACTACGGACGACAACAGGCCAGCAAGGAATATTCAGGAACCATCCTTACCTGCGGTTCTGTCTACCATTGCTCTGAACTATCTCATAACCTAATGCCCTATTCCATTTTCTAGCATCTGGGCTTGAGGGGTGGGGAAGGAAAGAAAGATAAATTTGTCCACACATTAGTTCTGCTTGAAAGATACTGGTCCGTCACAGAATCTGAAATTCAGATTTTTCAGTATTTCCTTAACAATGCAAAATTACGGCTCATTCCCATGTGTTCTCTGTTTAGTTTTGGCTTTGTCAGAGCTTGTCTAGCTTAGAGAAGAGGACTGTGAAAAGTCTAATTGCAATGGCCTCTCCTCCCACTGCAGCTCGGAGATTCTGAGCATAAATCAAGGGCCTACTGCCCCAGAGGAGCCCAGAGCAGAGGTGTTTAGGAAACTTCATGAGCATGACACAATGACCAGTCCTAGAATGACACACATTTGTCACTGTACCTTGTTGTCTTCTCCATTATGGGATATTCCGGGTCCACTGTCTTGAGAAGTGCACCCAAGAGCAGTCACTTCCTCCTTGGAATTTCCTGGGTGAGCTGCCCTCCCCAAGCAAGAGAGTGGGGTGAGCAAATGGGGTGACTCCCAAGGGACTGGACAGTCAAAAGATTAATAATATAATGGGGACACTTCCAAAAGCATGGAACCCCACCACCCAGTTCTATCCTTTTGACCTTCACCCTGACACCTGCTACATGCCCTCCAAGGACAGGAAAACCTTCCAGGTATTGGGAGAGTGGTTCTATTCAAGCATTTCTGAGCTGGAATTTTGATCTATTCTCCCAACTATTCAGGCATTAAATGCAGTCAGATCTCCCATTCTATTCCTTGGCCCCCCTCTTTGCTCACTGGAATTCTTACTCACAAGAGAGACCATAATCACACATGTTAATTCAGCCTCTCTCCCCGCTCCTACCAAATCAGTACCAACTTGGAAGGGGGTGACTTTCTTATCCTACTGTGCACCTCCCCACACCCCAAAATCCATAAGTGGAGGTGTGGTGAGGGGTTCAGATCCTTTAGGAAAAAAATATGCACTTTTCCATTTGAGCTGAAAATACAAATGAAACACATGAAAATACAAATGAAACACATTTTTCGAATAAAGAATATTACTTGTTACCTATATAAGTAAATGTTTAAAGTTTATTTCCAGACTCTATAAATGAGCAAAATTTGGTTTGGCAAAATTGAATCATAAGCATCTAAAAATACCAGCCCTCTTTAGCCTTCTCTGATATGTAAGATTTTATATAATACAGTAGTAGCTGCCCATGTACTTTCCTTCACAAAAACCATAAGCTCATAAATGAGCTCAGACACTTCTCAGCCAGCCTCATTGACTACTGTATCCGGATCACCTGGACACTTCCCAGTGCTGAGAAATGCTCTGTTAACAGTAATCAACTGAATGAGTGAGTGAATGAATGAATGAGAGAATAAAGTAGATAATCCATTATCAATTTTCTTCCTTTCCTGATGTGTGAAACTGTGGTTTTATGTGTTATGGATGAAAGTATGTTAATAGCTATCAAACTTTCCCTTGTACTTTATTCCTAAGCAATGAAGGTGCAATACTTTTTTTTAAATTAATGATAATTTGGACTCACAAGGATGAGAATCTGAGAAGCAGCCACACAGGTAGGTCAAAGGCAGATGCCTATGATTTGCCATCCGATGCTGCAGCAGATAACAGTGGCCACTAGAGGGAGCCACACAACCTTTCAAAGAGCAGCATTAGACCAAAAAGCCCATCCAGCGTGATGGTTCTGTTCTCTGCCCTTCCCAGCCTGGCTCACCCCCATATGCTTGCTCTTGCTACTGCTCTGTGTAATGCCTGACTCTCCAGAACAAGCTGAAACAAGTTAGAGCTGCAGTCTGCTAAGCATCAGGCTTTTAGAAAAATGACCCCACTTCCTCAGCTCAAATATTTCACATCTCTTTATGTACATTCCCTCCAGCTTTAAAAATTAAATACTAACAGAAGAAAAGTATTTTCCCTATGGATGACAGTTGAATCTATTAAAAATTCACCTGGAAAGAAAGCAAAAATATAACCTAAAAATGAAAAAAAATCTTTTTTAATCTGTGTGCAATTACTTCCTGCCTCCAGCAACTTTTTCCGTTAACAATAACAACAAAAAAATCAACTGTTGACGTATTCAATTTCATCCACCCCACCCCCAGTAAAGAAACTTAGGCATGTGCAAGCTAATGGGGAAGTCACATCGGACAGAATTCTGATCCTATTGGTCAAGTTTCAAAGGCTTCATATGTAACTGAGTATAGGAAGAAAAAAGTTTCCCACAAACTCCTTCTCTCAAAAGGTCTGAATAACCCTGTAAATATTTTCAGGGCCTTTATAAGCCACAGATGTTATCAACACTCAGGACCGTGCAAACTCTAAAATCCCCAGTCCACAAATGACACTGCTTCAAAAACAGATTTTAAAACATTTGAAAGGAGAAGTTAATTTCCCGCTGAAATGTTGTGGAATGTTGTAATATGTCCACACCTTAGTTAGAATGTGAAAAGCAACGGGCCCCACCGGGCTTCTGGCTTATAGTTCTATTTCTGTGGCCCATGAAATTGTAGGAAACCTCCTAAATAATAGTCAGAAATAAAGGGACAAAAGATAGAATTTAAAAAACAGAACAATTCAAGAAAGCAACTCTAAGAATAATTGATTAAAACTAAAATTAAAATAAGTGGCCTCGTGACATTTCCAAGGAAGAGAAGGTTCCAGAATCTGCATTGTTTGGTGATGGGTGGGAAAACCCAGTGGGCTAACATTTGCTGATTTCCGTGAGGAGAGAAACAGAGGAAAACAGAGAAACTGCTGAGCATCTGGGCTAATCTGTGATCGCATCTGTGGCCCCCACTAGCCGGCCGGCCTGGAAAAAACCTGAGTGTCAGCGACGACTGACAAAATTGTTACAAAATGAAGCTGGTTGGCGGAAAACCTTCACGAGTGAATTAAAATCCTGACTGCTGGCCCTGGGGGGATACAGGAGGTGTGGGTGAAACTGGGAACTAGCCATGATTTACACAGGGAGTGAAAAGACCACAACTTAGAATTTTTCAAAAAATTATAGTTTCGGTAATCTAATTATATCCCTAATTATAATGATGACCCTTCTTCCTTCAAGGGACTCAAGCATGCTTCTGGAACCTTCTCTGTGAAAGTCCCCTCATTTGCCGTTTTAAGGAGAGAGTTGGTGCATCTCAGAGTGAGTTAAAGTGACAGGGCTGGCATCTGAATTCTAGCTCATTTCCTCTGACCAGACCACACCAACTCTCTCAGCTCTTGAAATAACCCCCAGTGGAATTCTCCTCAGAGGAAGCCATCTCCCCAATTATGCAAAAACGTCCTCCCCTGCAAACCCCCTCCAGCCCATGCAATTTCCACATGATTTCCACATTCTGATGGGCAAACCATTTTTTTTTTCCATTTCCAGCCAAGGAAGTGCAACATCCAAGCCACAAGCCAGGAGGCATGGGGGCTGCAGGCTCCTTTGTGAAGCCCAGTGAGAAACCCACACGGCTGGTCGGCCAAGGGCCTGGGACCCTGGCTGGCTTCCCATCATTTCCGACTTTCTACGCCACAGGGCAAGTCACTTAACTGCCTCATTAGGATCACAGTCACAGCCCTGCCACAGCCTCCTTCCCAGGTGCCCGGTCACCCCATTAATATCTGTAAAGACCCATTAAGCCTCCTAGCGGAAAGGCACCAGAGGAGCAAAACCTATCACCATCATCATCAATAAACTCCCAGGCACTCTCCCCTGTCACCACCTCAGGGGAATCAGTCACCATGGGAAGAGAAAGCCTGGCACCTCAGCCTGCCTATCCATCCCCTAATGAGCTACCTGCAGCCTCGGAAGTGGCACTCGACCCTGAAGGGATCTCAGCCATGCTTTCATCGTGGCCGGTGAATTTAAAGAGACGCTCCCTCGCCCCCATCTCCCCTGCAGCCCTGCCCCCAGCTGCACCTCGAGCTGCAGCTGAGGCCGTCCTCCCCTACCTGGGAGAGGTGGAGGGAATGCCGACAGAAAGCAGCCTGGAGACCTAAAGACAATGTGTGTCTGCCACCCTGTTTGCCCCTCCAGCCCTCAGACCCACCACCTGGAAACAGACACCATCCATCAAAAACCCGCCACAGGGCTTCCCTGGTGGCGCAGTGGTTGAGAGTCCACCTGCCGATGCAGGGGACATGGGTTCGTGCCCCGGTCTGGGAAGATCCCACATGCCGCGGAGCGGCTGGGTCCATGAGCCATGGCCGCTGAGCCTGCGCGTCCGGACCCTGTGCTCCGCAACGGGAGAGGCCACAACAGTGAGAGGCCCGCCTACCGAAAAAAAAAAAAACCCCGCCACAAACTCGCTGAAGACGGCCTGTGTGTCTGTAACAGGGCTGCCTCACACCCACGTGAACCCTCCCCGGAGGAGAAGGGACAGAGTTCGCTCTTCCAGCAAACCCTCGTGTGTCTTAGAATTTTTACCAGATGCACACATTGCCTACGGGAAACAATGCTTTCCAGGGACCTTCTGCTAGACAGAGGCAATTAATCCTCTTGCATGTTTCAATGACCCTTTCCGACTGGAAACGGGGAACCCTTAGTCCCAGGGAGTCTCTGATTTGGCTAAAGTGGGGGCGATCTATTTGAGCAAGAGGGTCTGGAAGGTGTGGTTCGTTCAGGATGGGAGGTGGAGGAAGGCCAGGATGCCACCGCCCGGGTTTCACTCCCTCCTCTATTCCTGCAACAGCAACAAACAGAACGTCTACACAGCCTGACTCGATCCGCACCAGTGAATCTGTGCTTCCGTTACCGACACTGGAAAAAACCAGACCAAAGGGCATGCTTTCACCCCGACTCACAATCTGGACGCCTTGCCTGTTGAAGCTGAACCTTCAGCCAGATGTTGACTCGCTGGCCCCAGGCTCCTGGGGGCTCCGCCTCCCACAGGCGCCCCCGCTCCTCTGGATGCTCCGCCAGGAACTTCCTACAGACTGAGGGGAAGTTGCACACAGGAGTCAGAGAGGCCCACGCAGCCCTGGTGCACACACGCCGTCCCTCGTCTGCGTCCCCAGGCACAGCCACTTCCGTCCTTCCTGCAGCCTGGCCCGGCCCACCCCCAGCTCTCTGCTCTGCCGCTGCCCCACGCCAACCCCCCACCACCCCGCCCGCCATCCTCCACACCTGCCTCCCACTTTCATCCATCCCATTAAGCCTGCTCAGGCGGCCACAACAAAACACCACACACCCAGGGCCTTAAACAAGAGACATTTATTGTCTCGCAGCTCTGGAGGCTGGAAGTCTGAGATCAAGGTGTTGGCAGGCTTGCCTTCTCCGGAGACCTCTCTCCTTGGCTTGGAGATGGCACCTTCTTACTGTGTCTTCACACTGTCTTCCTTCCGTACCCATCTGTGTCCTAGTCTCCTCTTCTTACTGGGACCTCCTCTTACCAGTCCTATTGGATCAGGGCCCACCCTTATGACCTCATCTAACCTCACACTCAGTTACCTCCTTATAGACCCCATCTCCACATACAGTCCCCTTGGGGGTTAGAATTTGAGGAGGACCCAATTCAGCCCATAATGGCACCCCACTCGGTCCTCTCCACAGGCACTGTCCTTCCTCTTTCTGAGCCTCCACAGCCCTCTTCTCCCAGGGAGCCTTCCAGCTTATCCAGAGACACCTTGACTCCAGAACCCCCTCAAGGTTGTAGACTTTTATGTTCACAGGGTGAGCATTTCCACGTGGCAGGGCCCCGAATCCAGCCGAATGGGAAGCTGCTCCTGGTATTGCAGGTGCTGGGGGCTCCATCAGGCCCAGGGCAAGAGCACAGATGGAAACCCACAGAGCATGATGCTAAGTACTCAAAAGGTGTAAGCCAAGCTAGCCGAGTGCTAGATAGAATGTTCTGCTCTCCTGTCTTGACAAATATAACTTCTTAACAGCAGGAAAAGCCAGTTTCAAATTTAGAATTCTTAGACTCCTTGGAGTTTTGCACCTGAATGTGGCGATGCCAAGAGAGCTGGCCCCCAGCTGGCAGCCCACCCCCTCCTCCCATCCCAGCTCCCAGCCCATGGCAAGGGGCCTGTGCATGCAAATATGGACACCACGCCCACGCTCCACCTACACCCCACCAGCAGCTGTCCCAGGGCCTAAGGATGTGCAAATTGGTGGCATCCTCTGCTTTTGGGGGCACAGATCCAGGATAGAGTCCACTTGGGCCCTTGGCAGCCCCTGACAGGAACCCTGGGGTTCTGGTAGCCTGACCTGGTTTAGGAGTGGCCTGCACCCAGGCGAGAACAACCTCTTGGACCTGCAGATTCCTCATCCCGTGGAGAGAGGTGCAGCTTCAACAGGGTGCTAAAGCATGGGGCCCTGGGCAGGAGGCCCTCCGGGCCATTCCAAGGGCAGGACTGAACTGGATACAAGGCGGTCAGTGAAGCCTGGAGCAGCCACACCCGGCCCGGCCTTGAGCCTCCAGCTGCTGCTTTGTCCTGCTTTGTCCACACTCTGCCTGCTCACACATGAGCCCAGGCACAATCAGGGTGACGTAGAAGCTCAAGGCCCCAGCACCCTTGGCTGGGCCACTGAGACCCCAAGTGTGATTCAGAATCAGTACCTTCAGATCTTCTTTCTCTACCAGGTGGAGATACAGGCCCCTGCGAGGGTCTCTGCAGTGCTGGCCTAGCGGTGGTCCCCGCCCTTTGGAGCCTGCTCCTCCCCAGGGGAGACCTAGGTGGCTGCCCTGGGGGCCAACACACTCAAACAAAGTCTCAGAGCTGAAATGAGAATGACGGGAGGGAGAGACAGCAGGTGGGCATGGACAGAGAACCAGTGCCAGAGTTCCAGAACTTTCCAAGACCTCCAAGTGAACAAACCAGTGCAGTAAGCCTCCAGTATTCTTTGCACAAATTCAGGATCTTCAGAGTTTCGTGAGAGATGGAGAGTTTGAAAATACAAAGAAATGACCAAACCTACTTGAGGAAAATATGTTTTCGCCTGGTTTTCTTATGACTTCCGAGCAACAGAAGTTTCCTTGCCTTTCGCAGCTTTTCTCTCCTATCTGTTGTTCTCACACCATAAGGACACTGGAAACTCAATAGTAAGGGTCCAAAAGTATCTGTATGACAAGGAGTGAGGCAGGGCCCAGTGTGGGGTGGATGTGCTTCATGGGGGACTGTGGATCCTGGGAGATGCTCCCCAGTATCTCCCACCCTTGCTGATTTGGAGTGAAACATTTAGCATAAGAGCTTTCTGAATTTCCTCTGGCAAATACATATTAAGATTTCTTTTCCAGAACCTGGAGAAGGATTGTGGTAGTTCATGTTATATGTCAACTTGAGTGGGCCAGGGGTATCCAGACATTTCGTCATACATTATTCTGGGTGTGTCTGTGAGTGTGTTTTTGGATGAGATTCACATTTTTAATTATTTATTTATTTATTTATGGCTGCGTTGGGTCTTTGTTGCTGTGTGAGGGCTTTCTCTAGTTGTGGCGAGCAGGGGCTACTCTTCATTGCGGTGTGCGGGCTTCTCATTGTGGTGGCTTCTCTTTTTTGCAGAGCATGGGCTCTAGGCGTGCAGGCTTCAGCAGTTGTGGCACATGGGCTCAGTAGTTGTGGCACGTGGGCTTAGTAGTTGTGGCTCATGGGCTCTAGAGCATAGGCTCAGTAGTTGTGCCACACGGGCTTAACTGCTCTGCAGCATGTGGAATCTTCCCAGACCAGGGGTTGAACCCATGTCCCCTGCATTGGCAGGCAGATTCTTAACCACTGCGCCACCAGGGAAGTCCCGGGATTCACATTTGAATCCTTAGACGGAGTAAAGCAGATTGCCCTCCCCATTGTAGGTGGACCTCAGCCAATCAGTTGAGGGCCTGACTACAAAACAAAAAGTCTGACCCTCCCACAAGTGAGAGGAACTCCTCCTGCCTGACTGACTGAGCTGGGACATTGGTCTTTTCCTATCTTTGGACTTGAACTGAAACACTGGCTTTTCTTGGGTCTCAAGCCTGTTAGCATTTGGACTGGAACCACACCATCAGTCCTCCTGAGCTTCCAGCTTGCTGACTGTAATCTTAGGATATCTCAATCTCCACGTTGTCTGAGCCAATTTCTTATAATAAATCTCTTCTCTCTCTTTCTCTCTCTCTCTCTCTCTCTCTCTCTCTACATATATATATATATATATATATATATATATGTATATATATATATATATATATATATATCTCCTACCGGTTCTGTTTCTCTGGAGAAGCCTGACTAATACATGGACTCAGTAGGACAAGAGTGGATGTGGGGAGCCATCTTCTGTAGTAAGAGCTACACAGGTGCCCAGGGCTCAGTGCATTTGGAGCTTGCCTTCACTCAGCTCCTGGTCCCCCTGGGGCTCCGAGTTGGAAAGGCAAAGTGATGACTAGCATCTTCTCGTGCAAGAGCAAAGGCCCTTTGAGGCCCAGCAACAACCAGCAGCACAGTGGGTTCCCTGGATTCTGCTTCTCTCTGACGCTGTGTTGATTTGGTTCTTATTATTTCTAAATCCAATTCTTCTCAGGGACTGGGAAAGGTTTGCCCCTTGTGATCAGGCTTAAAGTCTCAGTGCTGAAGCAACAGGAGATTTCTCAGAGGAGAGACAACTCACAGGTGTGTCATGGTGCCAGCGGCTCTGAGGGACCTCCCGCCCCAGAATCATCTGGAACCCACATGAGTTACCCATCCCCGTTACCCAAGCGCTCCTCCCGATGCAGTGATTACCTTGGTACATGGCAGGGGAGATTGGCCAGTTGATGCCCAGGGCCTCGTCCTCTCGGAACGTCTGGCAGAAGTCCCTCAGCATGGCCAGGCCCAGGCCCTGGCGGCGATGGCTCCTCCGGACAAACACGGTGTCTAAGACAGGCAGCAGGTAGCACACACCCGTGCCATCACCACACAGGCTGCCTGAGGGGAAAGCAAGAGACACGTGCTGTCCCCTGGGCTGGACTAGCCTGCCAGGACCCGGCAGGACTCCCACTTGCCAGGTCACTGGTACCATTTGGAAGCAGTGCAGCCTCACAAACTAAACCACTGAAGACCAAACAGCAGATCACCCTAAACCACCAGCTCTCCAGCTTACTGGGCAGCCCACACATTGTCAATTACTGTGAGCAAGGCCACTAGGCTATTGCCCTGAAATGAAATGCAAACCCAGGTGACTGAGCGAGCGAGGCCATCGTGCACCCAGACTCCTCACATCCCTCCCTCACCGTGCACAGTTCAGAGGTCCCCAAAGCCAAGGAGGAGCATCTGGGCAACGTCAAAGTTCTTCGTGATGTGGGCTGGGAGACCCAGCCAACGCATCTCCATGGCATGGACTTGTTCAGAGTTCACCATGGCCAATTATGGCAAAGTACACCTGACCCAAACAGACTAAGTCCTGTTTCCCATAGAACATCAATGACCCTGCTATAGAGAGGCTACAGCTGGCACCTCTCCCACTTTTCTACCCTGAATTTAACTTTACTGCAACCAGCACTAACAGCAGCAAAGTTGCTGTTTCTGCAACAGGAAGCTACCCTTGCAGTCAGTCACCTCTGTTGTCACCCTAGCTAGAAATGCCACACACACCCAACTATATCACCTTCCTCACTTCCCAGCCGCACAGTTGCCTGTGCTCTAGATGCACTGGAATCCAGGAAAAGAAATATGTCACATAGTCAGCTCCTATTGGAAGAGGTGGTATTTGTGTCTGCAAAGATTCAAAGGTGAGTAATTTCCCAAACAAACAAAAAAATGATTCTGAGTCTAATTAGCCAGGCTGAATTGCAGAGCTACATGCTACTGTAGTGAACTGTTTCAAAAATGGCCACAATTATTCCCTTTCCTATATCCACACACCTTTGCATGTGATTTTGAAGGTCCTCCCATCAAGATATGGGGTCTACTTCCTCTCCCCTTCAATCTTGCTGGCCTGGTGACTCACTTTGAGCAACAGAATGAAGCTGGCAAGAGCACACCAGTTCCGAGCCTAGGCCTCTCGGGGTCCAGGGCCCCTCCATTCTTTCATAGATCCCTATCACTCACCACAAGAACAAACCCAGGCTAGCCTGCCACCAGGAGAGAAACATGGCCCAGGCACCCTCATGGTCCCAGCCAACATCTAGCTGGTCTTAAGAAACAGGTGGGCAGGTGACCACAGACACATAGGCCAGCCCAGCCTAGGGCAGAAAACCACCCAGCTGAGCCTCAGCAAAATCGCCAACCAAAAGAATGGTGAGCTAAATAAATAGTTGGTTTTGTGCCCAATATGAATGAATAAATAAATAATCTGTGACCAATGAGCAACCCCAATTACTTGAGATGGTAATTGTAAAGAATTTGGAATTTATCCTAAATGTGCCTGAAATAACAGCACCAACTGGGTTGCAATTATATAACTTCCAATTTTATAGACAACAAGAACAATGGTCCCTAAACAGTGAAGTCCTTCAAAGCTAAGAATGTTTAAAATTAAATAAAGACACAATTCCACTCACAACAGCATTAAAAAGTAAATACTCAGGAATATATTTAACAAAAGAAGCATAAGCCTTAAATACTGAAAAGCACAAAACATAGTTGAGGGAAATTAAAGAAGATCTAAATAAATGAAGAGAAATTCCATGTTCATGGGTTGGATCAGGGTCCCCAACCTCCAAGCCACAGACCAGTACCGGTCCATGGCCTGTTAGGAACCAGGCCACACAGCAGGAGGTGAGCAGCGGGCGAGCGAGCGAAGCTTCATCTGTATTTACAGCCGCTCCCCATCACTCGTATTACCGCCGGAGTTCCACCTCCTGTCAGATCAGTGGCGGCAATTAGATTCTCATAGGAGCACGACCCTCCTGTGAACTGTGCATGCGAGGGATCTAGGTTGTGCACTCCTATGAGAATCTAATGCCTGATGATCTGAGGTAGAGCTGAGGCAGTGATGCTAGCACTGGGGAGCGGCTGCAAATACAGATTATCATTAGCAGAGAGGTTTGACTGCACAGTGATCATAATAAATCAATTGCTCGCAGAATCATATCAAAACCCTATCAGTGAGTGGCAAGTGACAATTAAGCTGCATCTTACATAATAGACTGGACATAAGCAACACACTTCAGGTGTCACTGTCTCCCATCACCCCCAGATGGGACCATCTAGTTGCAGTGAAACAAGCTCAGGGCTCCCACTGATTCTGCATTATGGTGAGTTGTATAATTATTTCATTATATATTAAAATGTAATATTAATAGAAATAAAGTGCACAACAAATGTAATGCGCTTGAATCATCCCAAAACCATACCCCACCACGGAAAAACTGTCTTCCACGAAACCAGTCCCTGGTGCCAAAAAGGTTGGGGACTGCTGGATTGGATGACTCAATACTGTTAAGTTGCCAATTCTTCCCAAACTGACCTGTAAGTTTAACAACAGTCCTATCAAAATCCCAGCAGGCTCTTTTGTGGAAATTGACAAGCTGAGAGTAAAATTCATGTGAAATGCAAAGTCTCTAGGATAAACAAAACAGAAAAAAAAAAAGAAGAAGAAGAACAAAGTTGGAGGTTTTATATTAACCAATTTCAAAGCTTCTTATAAAATCAAGGTAATCAGGCAGTGTGATAATGGTGCAACAGTGGGCATATAGATCAATGGAGCAGAAGTGAGAGTCCAGAAGTAAACTCTTACACTCCGAATTTCTATAAAATGCCATGGTAACTCAGTGGGGGAAAAGACAGACTTTTCAACAAACTGTGGTGGAATGATTGGACATCCATAAGCCAAAAATTAATTAATTAATTAAAAATGAACAAATTAATGAATGAAGCTGCAACAGAAAAGAGCCCAGAATGAGACCCACACAAACACAGTCAACTGATCTCTGACAAAGGAGCAAAGCAAAGTGAATAGAGGAAGGACAGTCTTTTCAACAAGTGATGCTGGGACAGTTGGACATCCACATGCAAAACCATGAATCTAGACACAGACCTTAAACCCTTCACAAAATGTAGCTCAAAATGGATCACAGACACAAATGTACAATGCAAAACTACAGAACTAGAAGATAATATAGGAGAAAATCTAGATGACCTTGGGTTTGGCAATAAACTTGTACATACAGCATCAAAGGCATGATCCATGAAAGAAAAAATTGAGAGTTGAATTTCATTAAAATCAAATTTTTCTGCTCTGTGAAGGACACTGTCAAGAGAACGAGAAGCCACAAACTGGGGAAAAAATATATTCAAAAGACATATCTGATAAAGAACTATTATCCAAAATATACAAAGAGCTCATAAAACTCAACAATAAAAAAAACAAACAACTTGATTAAAAAGTGGGCCAAAGACCTTAATAGACACCTCACCAAAGAAGCTGTACAGATGGCAAGTAACATGAGAAGATGTGCCACATCATATATCATCAGGGAAATAAAAATTTTTAAAAAGTGAGATACTACCATACACCTATTAGAATGGCCAAAATCCAGAACACTGAAAACACCAAAGTGCTGTTGAAGATGTGGAGCAAAAGGAACTCTCTTTCATTGTTGGTGGGAATGCAAAACGATACAGCAACTCTGGATGACAGCTTGGTGGTGGTTTCTTTTCTTTCTTTTTTTTTTTTTTTTTTAATTTTTGGCTGCATTGAGTCTTCATTGCTGCATGCAAGCTTTCTCTAGTTGTGGCGAGCGGGGGCTACCCTTTGTTGTGGTGCACGGGGCTTCTCATTGCAGTGGCTTCTCTTGTTGTGGAGCATGGGCTCTAGGCAAACGGGCTTCAGCAGTTGTGGCACACAGGCTAAGAAGTTGTGGCTCACGGGCTCTAGAGAGCAGGCTCAGTAGTTGTGGTGCATGGGCTTAGCTGCTCCACAGCATGTGGGATCTTCCCCAACCAGGGATCGAACTCGTGTCCCCTGAATTGGCAGGTGGATTCTTAACCACTGCGCCACCAGGGAAGTCCCAGCTTGGTGGTTTCTTACAAAACTAAACCTACTCTTACCATAGGATCCAGCAATTGTGCTCATTTATATTTACCTGAAGGAGTTGAAAATTTATGTCTACTCAAAAACTGGCACACAAATGTTTGTAATGCCTATATTCATAATTACCAAAACTTGGAAGCAACCAATATATGCTTCAATAGGAGAGTGGATAAATAAATTATGGTACATCCAGATAATGGACTACTAGTCAGTGTTAAAAGGAAATGAGCTATCGTGCCATAAAAAGATATAGAGAAACCTTACAGCACATTACTAAGTAAAAGAAGCCAATCCACAAAGGCTACAGAGCATACAATTACAATTATATCTTCTGGAAAAGGCAAAACTACGAAGGCAGTAAAAATATTAGTGGTTGCCAAGGGGTAGGGGAGAGCAAGGGATGAATAGGTGGAACACAGGATTTTTAGGGCAGTGAAGCTACTCTGTATGATGGTACAATGATAGAACATGTCTTTATACACTTGTCGAAACCCACAAAACATACAACACAAAGAATGAATCCTAATGTAAACTATGGACTTTAGTTAATAATAATGTATTCATATGGACTGAATTGTGTCTCCCCAAACCCTCAGTACATCAGAATGTGTCTGTATTTGGAGACAGGGCCTTTAAGAGGTGATGAACTCAAAATGAGGTCTTTAGATGGACTCTAATCCAATCCAGTTGGTGTCCTTATAAGAAGAGGAAATTTGGACACACAGAGGGACACCAAGAATGCACACACACACAGGAAAACCGTGAGAGGACACACCGAGAAGATGGCCATCGCAAGCCAAGACATAGGTATCAGAAGAAACCAAACTTGCCTACACCTTGAACTTGGATTTCCAGCCTCCAGAACCATGGGAAAATTAATTTCTGTTGTTTAAGCCACCCAATGTGTGGTGCTCTGTTACGGGAGCCCTAGTCAACTAATACATGCATCAAT